CCGACCCACCCCCCGGCTCCGGCCCCGCGCCGGCGCTACCGGCGCCTGGGGTTTCTTCGGCTCCTCCGGCCCTGCTCGAGGTAAGCAGACCCCTTGACCGCCGCGGGGGTCTCCCAGTGCCCCCGCTCCCCTGGGACAGTAATGTTTTCTCTCTTATTTTCCATCCTATTTCTTATTGTTTGAGTTTACTTTTTTGGTCACTGATGCACAATGAATACATGTATTAATTGAGCTGTCCACAGTACTACACAGATCTTTTTCCTGAATTGCTATAGTTCATTTAGGACCTAGTAATGAGCTATACAAAATATGCCCTGTCATGTGTATTACTTCACATATATTAACATTTAATTTTATCTACTATTGTGGTTAATTGTATTAGTAACTACCACCTATGTTACAGTACCTGACAGTGTATTTGATGATTGGCTAGCAGTGAGAACCATTCAATAATCAAGGGAAAATAGGAATCCTGACTTTCTTTAGGACTCATATTTACAGAATGATATTCAAGTAGTGCAGGAGGAAAGTTCAGAAAAGAATCATAATAATTACCAGAGGAAAGCCAAACATAATCAAGAAAACTCGGTAAAACATGGGGCCTGATTCTATTTATATTGGTGTAAATCAGAAGTGACTGAAGTCAGTAGTAATACACCACTGGGAGGACAATATACATGGGAGAAGACTCTATTCCTTCTACCAGGCTCAGGCTGTTTGCTCCAAAATTCTCACTGTCCTGAGCTACAAAGTATAGGGACACTTCTGGGATTAGACTCAGTTGCCTGGATTTCAAGCACAACAGCATGTTGAGGAGTTTGGCAGGTGGCCTAGATGAGAACAGCTTTCATGACCAGGAACTCTGTGGTTATGCCTACAGATGGGAAAGGGATTTCAGAGAAGAAAAGTTATCTAACTTGACAATAGAATCCACCTAGTCTTACAAAGTTTTCCAGTCAAGTCCAAATTAGATTTAGAAATGTACCATTATGCTTTGTTTGTATTTTCTTCCCCCATTCATCCCTGCTTTCAGCTTGGTATTTTACTCCTCCAGGGTTACACAGACGTTATTTTTCCTACATCCCATATGTCCAAATCCTCCATAAAGATGTTTAGCTCAAATGTCATGCATGCGAAACTCAACAGTTCGGGTACAAAGTAGTTTTCTTGTGTCTTTAACATGCTGCAGTGTTCAATTGCAATACAGCAAATTTATTTTTATACAGCCTCCTTCAATAGAAAGTATAAAAATTACTTTGCAGTGAGTCATCTGTCAACTTAAGAACTAAAGGTCTTGTAGCAATATTAAAAAAGGAAGTAGCTCAGAGCTGACAGAGTTCAAGACAGAAAGGGGAGCACAAATGAAAGAGTTCCCCAACTATTGAGACAATAAAGCTGGGGGGGATGCAGGGTGATGGGCTAACCAGACAGGTTGTGAATTTCGAAGGCAGGACGAGTGAATCTCAGAACATTTTGAAAATCAGAAGTACGGATGTGATTCACTGATCCATTACCCATTGCTATGCTAGCATATATCCCTTATCTTAAAAGCCATCTCATAAAATAGAGATGGAGTCCAGTATTGTAAGACTGAGTTCAAAATATGAAAGTAAAAGAAAATAAGAGCTAAGTTACTTTGATTTCTAAAGTAATAGAGTAGAATAGCAGCTGTATTTAGGGCTCCCTTAAGTTTAAGAGCAACTGATGATTTTTCAGTTAATTAGACAGGAAATGATTATAGGCACAAATAAGGAATTCACTAGCACAGTAAAAGAATGGCTGCTGACAATCATCTGTGGGTAATGACAAACAGGCTTTCATTCTGAGGTGATGTGTGGGAGAGGAAGTAAACTCAAGGTCACAGATGACTTCACAGTTCTGCTTTTGGGTACAGAGATAAGATCTGAATACAGAAGCATAAGAGTCAGAGAGAGGAATTTCTTCCCCTTGACATTTGAGCCTTTTGAAAAATTTAGTAGTAAGGAAATTATACTGTAGTCAGAGAATGATCTAATCAACACAGGTAGAGACATCCAAGCTTGTTACTTGGACATCCAAGCTTGTTACATCCTTCTACTTCAGACGTTTTTCTCAAAGAGGTAATGTTTTCAGGTAGAACTAGTGGTGAGGTGTCCCAAAGGGAGAAGAGAAAAGATAAGAGGCAAAGCTGAAGTCCAAAATATTCTCTGGAGGCACAGCCTATAGCAGGACATGGAGGGGCTGCAACAGCCTTTTGCAAGATCTTCTACATGCTTTCTTCCTGTGCATGGCTAGCTCCTCCTACTGGTATCAAGAGGGACAAGATTTAGGCTCCACCTTCATCTCATGTCTCCTTTTGTCACTAGAGCTTCTGTGAATGATACAACCCATATTACCATTTTCACTTGAATCTAAGACAAGGATTTTTCCCCAATCAGCATGGGGGAACTAAAGCCTCATCTTAAACTTGAGTACTGGCCTGGGGCAGGCAGCAGTTCAGCTTCAGCATTGGCCCACACTTGGGGCTCACTGAAGCCAAAGTTGGGCCACTGCCTGTCCTGGGGCTGAAATGGCTCATTTGGGAGGAGAGATGGCATGCAGTCAGGAGAAGCATGGGGCAGATTGTGGGGTGGAGGGGAGGAGCCTGCAGCCTTCCCCCTCCACCTTTGCCCCCCCCATGCCTATGTCTGTGCTTGCTCCCCACCCCCTGTCTCCCTCATCTTCCCCCTCCTTACTTAACTTCTGCTCCATTCCAGCCCCAACCTGGCCTGACTGGGAACTGCCTTTGCTTCTTTCTGACCAGGGTGGGCCAGGGCTTCTCTGTGTCCTAGAAGAGCAGAGCTGCAGAATAAGGTGGGGAGGATGGGCAGGGAATGGGTTAGTAGGGAGGAAGGCTGTACGGAGGACGATGTGGGGCAGGGGGTAGGGCTTCAGGGAGAAATAGGGGGTGGGGAAAGCAGGCTGCAAGGGGCAGGCACAGGCACAAAGCTACCGGGTAGGGGACAGAAACAGGCAGTAGGGGGCAGGCACAAGTATGGAGGGCAGGCAGCAGCAGGGCATATACCAGGGGGCATATGGCGAGGGGTGGGCACAAGCACTGAGAGACAAGGGCTAGAGGAGCAAGGGTCAGGTGTCTGGCACCCTCCTCCCTGCCACTGTTTTCTCTACCCCAGCAGTTATTTAAGGTGACCTTCCACTAATTAGATTCCACTAATTAGATTCTCTACATATAAAATTGTAACAAATTCAACAAATTTATAATTTTCCATGTATAGAGTCTAATTATTGGAGGGTGCATCTTAAATTTGAAGTAGTCTTGGATTTGGGTATATATAGTATGTTTTGTTCCTGTACAGGGCTGTCTCCCACTCTGTAGAACTATATATTATGGCTCTGAACATGGAGGCCACATCTATCAAAAATATGAGGGGTCGGGATGCCATGGAATGTAGAGTGGAAGAATAATCTGGTTTTAATCTTTTCATGCTCTCAAAATATAGAGTACTAAAAGTCGCACCAAGAAAAAGGAGTAAGATTAGCAGCACCTAAGCTGGTCAAAAGGGATATAAGTGGTTGCACAGCCAATTTTATTTACAACTATCATGTCTTTCTCAAATCTGCAGAGGAGGATTATCAAGGACAACCCAAACGAAAGCGCACTCGAAGAAAGAAGCAAAAGAACACTTTGCAAAATCCTGGTAATTTACATGGAGAACAAACAGAATTGGAGAAGCATGGGACTCTGTTTCAAGATAATTTACAGCTGCAGCAGACAGACAGCCCCAGAATAAGCAAAAACAAAAAAAGGAAAATGAAAAAGAAACGGCAAAAAGAAAAAATGAGAGCAGGTGGCTTGCTAACAAAAAACACTTGTGTGGATTTTACATACCAGCCTGACAAAAGCAACAGTGATGGAGGAGTAGACTTTGAAGACATAGATGAAAAAGCAGATGGTATTCTGGACTTCTTGCAAGCAACAAGAGAAATATATTTCACTGACAGTATGTACCATCCTTTCTGATATCTTTTCAATATCATTTACAAGTTGAAATTAGAAGAAAATATACCTATACTTATTTTTATACAGAATGGGCCAAATCCATCACTGGTATGAGGCAGTGATGTCAGTTAAAGTTGCAAGTTCTCAGAGATCATAACAATCCAATCTCATTTTAAATACCCAGATAAGTACCAGGTATAAAAGATATGGCTTTAATCTTTTTCCTCATCTGTAGAATGCATATACAATAGCTTCCTCAGTTTCATAAAGCATTTTGTAAACTTTGGAAAAAAAGTGGAAAATCATCCATATTTTTCTTCCTTCTGTGAACAAACATCTAGATGAGCTGCTCAGTATCAGAATTCTTTAAATGAGGGCAATAGATACTGTTGCAGATTCATTCTTGCCCCTTAGCCTATGTTCTAGAAATCTTCCTTTTCCCCAGTGCATGATTCATTTGTAGAACATAGAAAGAGGTAGACTGACTTTCCAACTCACCGTTCACCTAGTGGAAATGGGAATTCATGGCAGGAACTATATTTAGAGGATTTGTTGATCCTGTAGATACGATAGAAGAGTGAGGTTTTGGGAATCTGTATCCAGTCAAGATGCCTAGCACTTAACAAAAAAAGGCACTTAACAACAGACCCTGATGTCCTCCTGAATTCTAATTCAGGGACTCAGATCAGATAGATCCCCATTATTTCAACATTCTTCCCTTGGAGTTCTGTTCTGTGAGGCTTCTGCCACAATAGCACTTCAGAGGTAGCTGTGCTTCAGTGATGGGTAAATGAATCTCTATACATAATCTGAAGCAAATTTGGTATCATCTAAAATTAAAAGTGTTATATAAGCACAAGCATTTGCTATTTACATTGTTGGGACCCAGGACATATCTTTAAAACTAAAATTGTCCGTGTAAAAACTGGGAAAAGTAGTGTAACCTTTCCACAACACACAGCTTTGACTGTCTTTGGGGAATCTTAAATAGCTTGCTTGCCTATATGTGTCCATCATAAACCAGAACTGTCAAGAGTCAGTGTCATAACATTTACTTTTAAAATGTAGCACAACGTTGAAAAATGATTTTATGGGGTTTTGTATTTATGTTTCTCAATTTTCAGCCAAAATAGTAATTTTTTTGGTAAAAAGATGTCCACTCCGTCAAATCTGCATGTGAAGTCTGTGATCTGACAGTCAGGTTTTTTCTGGTTCATTGTAATCATATCAGTAATAAAAATGTTGCCATTTGCATGTTTGATTAAGTATTGCTCTTACTTACATTAATATAAATCCAAGGTAGCTCTCCTGGCTTGTGGAGTTACCCTAGGCTTACAACCACTTAACTGGGAAAAGTGTTTTATTAATATTTAGTTGCTTATATCTGTCCAGAATGGAAACCTGCTCACTTTCCCATAACTGTCTTGGCCATACAGTTCTATCAAAAAGTATTCAGATTGCTAGTTTTTATGAACCCAAGTACAAGTGTCTACCAGCAATCGACAGATTGATCAGAACTCCAGATCTGCAGAGCAGAAAGTTAAAGTCAATGTTGACCTGGATATTCAAAGAAGAGAAATTTTCAAGCAAAAGAAAAGCCATCTGGTAGATTTGATGTCACCTCCACAGATCACTCACTCCATGACAAATTTCTCTATTAGATAAACCATATGTAGATCTGACATTTGCTGTTTGCCTTTGTAATATACTTCCTAGCTGAATTACCTAAACCCCCCACCCCTGTTTTTACATAAAATTGGAAACTACCACTTTCACTAGCTTCGGCTAATGGCATAACATTGCATTACAACTTTCTATTTGTGTCTTAGCTTTATGGAAATAATCTAATCATCACTGGATTTGGCCCATTTAAAAATGTAACTTTAAAGTTAGCCCAAGTTAAAGGTGTTGATATGGAGAGACCATTCAAAGACTGGGGGATTGAGTACAGGTATCAGCATAGTTTCCTTTCCAGTATCATGTTCATTCAATTAATAAATATTAAATTTCAGTAATAGGATAATCATGTGTCTCCAAAAGTGCTTAGCTGCAGATCTTCTCTACTTCTTTCCCTTTTCTCAGTTTTCATTCGTATCTTTAATGATTATAACAACCAGTTGACACACTGACTGAAAAGGGATTCATGGAAGTCATCAGTGGACTTCTGTCTCTGGCTGAACAAGCCACATGGGGCTTCAGCCCCAAATAACCTGAAATAAGTCCCCTTTGGGGATCATCCTTAATAGTCACACTTTCATCATCTTCACTATTTAGATTCAGTATCTTCTTTCCAACCTTGTTTTATTATGTAGGAAATAGGAAAAATAGGCTAATCTTCAGTACATCATGGCACTGGTTTTTAGAGTGTATAAATATAAAGGAAGGTAATGTATTTGAAAAGCAAGAGTAACTATAAATATGCAGTAAACCTGAAGAACGTTCCCAATTGTATTTGGGTTGCTTGTTTTCTATAGCTAAATCAAAACATACAGATTCAGATGTGAGTCCAGCAACCATCGAAGAGATTTTACAACACCTTGAATCTCGCAGTATGGCTTCCTCGGACGTGATGCTTCTACATCAGATTAAGTCCTTTGTACTTTTGCAAGATATTGAGAGATTGAAAGGTGCTTTGGAACAGATCCAAGAACATTCAGTGATGCCTTCTGGTATGTACCATTCACTCATCACATTGCTGATGTTCTCATTGTGGATGAAGATTCAAATTTGTCACTGATTTTTATACAGGAAAAAAACTCCTAACTAAATAATTATGTAATGGGGAAAGCACGATTCTCATCAAACTGTGAAAACAGGATTCTTTATATAGTAGCCATTCATTTTCTTCTGTTATGATCATTACAGAAACTTTTCAAATAAAAATAAATATATGCAGCAGACAGGCTGGTTCCGGCTATTAAGAAGTAATCAATAATTCCTTAAATTGTAACTATTATATTTCAACTGTAGTATTTTTAAACACAATTTCCTTTATAGATTTTTCTCATGTAATTCAGAAAATATCACTGTAATGAACTTGTTAACCCAGGAGGTTTTGCACATCCATTTTAGGATTAATTTCTAATACATGGGCACCAGTACATCCTATTATATCCTCATTCATTTTTATTTAGTCAGCTGCCTGGCTGCTTTAAATATATAACAAATATAGATGTGGCACAGTAAAATTAAAGTTTGATTTACCATTTGGCACCCTGTAAATGCCAATGTTATGGTGCATGCAGCCAAAAAAATATTGTCCAGAAGAACTTGCTGATGAAACAAATAAAAAATGTTTTACAATGTATATTAAATTAACAGTTTATAAAACAAAAAGGAAGGCGGTCAATCCAGACCTGATTTTACCCCCCAGACCTGATTATGACTCAGTTTATACTTGTTTTACTTAATTACAACTCCTAATACTTTAGTAGAGTTATTTCTAGTGTAGCCATGTAATAATATTAAAATTGGTTTGAGATCAGACTCAGACCCACAGGATATAAAATACTTAAATCTCCTGCTTCCCAGCAAAGTGCATTAACCACCAAGACAGAGTATTGCCCAGATCCCTCTCCAGCCCTTGTTGTGAAGCTGACACTAGTTTGCATTTAATATTAATTGGGTAAAATGGATAAACAGCATTACAGAACTTTCTGCCAGTTGGGAACTGGGGCCCAGGGCTATTCAGCTAAAAGATGGGAGGGTCCTCCTCATCATCTGTTTGACTTCTGATAGGCACACGAGTAGAGTGAATCAGTTGTGCCATGGGGGGAACCAACTCCCAAGCTGTGCATAAATGCCAAAAACTGCAGTTACACAGTTAGGTACAGAAAGTGAAATAGGATCTGGCCTTAAATTTTCTGCTCCCTTTTGTCTTTGTTTCATAGGCCAGGCCTGTTGAACAGAATCAGAGAAAGGCTAGAGAAAATAATTTGTAAAAGGAAAAAATAGCATTCAGGGCAAAAATCCATTTCAGTTCATTTGCCAGCTTTACTCAGGAACTGCAGCACCTATAGACTACAGGTAGGTCATAGAATCATAGAAAGTTAGGGTGGGAAGGGACCTCAGGAGGTCATATAGTCCAACCCCCTGCTCAAAGCAGGACCATCCCCAACTAGATGATCCCAGCCAAAGATTTGTCTAGCCAGGTTTTGAAAAACTCCAATGATGGAGCTTCCATAACCACTCTGGCTAACCTGTTCCAGTGTTTTACTACCCTCCTAGTGAGAAAATTCTTCCTAATATCTAACCTAAACTTCCCTTGGTACAACTTGAGACAATTGGCTCTCTCCAATTTGTCAAACAGACTCTCTCCAATTTGTCCAATCTTTCTGTAGAGAGGGGCCCAAAACTAGACACTGTATTCCAGATGTGGCCTCACCAGTTCTGAATACAGGAGAATAATCACTTCTCAACATCTGTATGGCAGAGCACCTTTGGGTACCTGACTTTAAGGGCAGAGTCAGGCAGCTACTGGTTGCCTGATGGCAGCAGCCATTTTGAGAACAAGCGATAAAAAGGCTGCAGTCTGCTGCTGCCAGCTCAGGCAGAAACATTGCCTGGCTGAGCTGCACCAGGAACATCTTGAAGGTAAGAGCAAGAGGCTCTTGGTCCTGGCTATGACCTAAAACTGCACCCTGCTGTTGAAGGGTGGCTTGGTGAGACTCCTGGTGGTGCGGGAGCCCCCAGGAAATGCCAGACCAGTTACCTCTCCTGTGAAAGGTGAGGAGGGGCAACCTTAACTCCAGGCTCCATCTTCGGGTGGGCTTTGGAGGCAGTTGTGGGAGTAGTGGGGCCAGGCATGGCAAGTGGAGTGCCACCTGAGCCCAGCAGGGATGTGAGAGCCTGGAGATCCCGGAGGGGGTAGTGTGGGGAGTGTAGTGTGTGGCCCCGCACAGAGTAGGACTGAACGGGAGTAGGCCTGAAGGGCAGTCCCAGGGGTGCGCTGAGTAGCACCGAACTGGGAGTAAGCCTTAAGGGCAGTGCAAGGGCCAGCCCCGGAAGTAGTTGATCATGATCAGTGTCCAGTTTTGGTCCCCTCTCTACAGAAAGATTAGACTCTCTCCAATTTGTCCAGTGGTAAGCAAGTAAATAGATAGAGGGCTGGAGAACATGACTTATGAGGAGAGGCTGAGAGAACTGAGGTTAGTTAGTCAGGAGAAGAGATGACAGAGAGGGGATTTAATAGCAGCCTTCAACTACCTGAAGGATAGTTCCAAAGAGGATGGAGCTAGACTGTTCTCAGTGGTTGCAGATGACCGAACACAAAGCAATGGTCTCAGTTTGCAGCAAGGGAAGTTTAGGTTAGATGTTAGAAAAAACTTTTGCATGAGGTGAGGGTAGTAATGCACTGGAACAGGCTACCCAGTGAGGTCATGGAATCTCCATCCTTATCAGTTTGTAAGACCCGGGTAGACAAAGCCTTGGTTGGGATGATCTAGTTGGGGATGGGGAAGAAAAAGATGCAACTTTAATCCATTCAGATGGAGGATTGCTTAGAATTCAGATCCTCCATTTTTTGAGTGCTGTAGCCAATACGCATTATGCAAAACATACTCAAATTGGATTGCTTATGAAAATGGAGGGAAGCCAAAGCTTAACACCTAGGGAACTTTGTAGTCCAAACATAGGCACATGTTGAGGTTTCTGGTCACTAGAATGAATGGTGGTGTACCAAATCACATTCTGGATCTGAGGTGCCTCTAAAGATGGCCTAGATACCACTTAGGTGCCTAGTTGATCAACCTGGGTCAAGCATTTTATTAATGTATTTAATGTATATGCAATTTTCCCTTCATAAAGACTGAAAGTAATTTATAAAAAAATGATGATCCTGTTGATACTACCTTAGCTTGTTTGCTCTGTCAGAAGATTTGTCCTCATTACTTACATCACTCCTCACTCAGTCCTGCTCACAGTTGTACTGGGTTTCATGGGACACAGTTGAATTTCAAGTCCCCAAGTACACTAACGTAAGCAAAAGGAGAGTCTGGATTTCTGAATTAGTTGGAAGTCTGATCTATTCTAGCTTTGCTCAATAGCAGTGCCATTAGGTTTTTTATTGTGTTTTTATTTCTGCATATTTTGATGACTAATACTTGTCTTTTGCAGCCCTAGAAACCTCAGATTTAATCCACAATGGACAGCTGATAAAAGCAGGAAGCCTTCCTTATAGTTAATGGAAAAAGCTTGCTGCTTCAGCACACTCCAGCTGCTCCTTATAAAAACTCAGTTTAGAGCTGTTCATGAAGATAAGAATGTACAGTACGTCACAGCAACCCCAGTTTTTCCCAAACATGATATCTAAATTCCATCAGGACTAATCCATATAATTCTCTTTGCTTTGTTTCTGTTTTGTCTGTTTTTACTGGGACATGATGCCCTAGAAGTAAAGGTCATTCCTGATGAATGTGATGAAACAAAGACAATTTTGATTAATATTAGCAGGGAACCTTACTTCTACAAAGCAAACCAATTTTATTTCCTGTGCTTCAAGAAGCAGTGTGTTAACCCTTTCCCCTGTGGTTATGATTCAATGTCAGATGCCAGTGTCAAAGGTATAATAATTTGTGTAGATATTTTTTCACAGAGGATGAAGTGGAAAGTAATGGTAAGGAATGATTAATGGTCTTTATGACGATTCTCCCCTTATATATAAAATGTACATCTTCCCCATCTGTAAACTTTAGTGTGATATATTATTTAAAAAAATACTTCTTTAAAACCACTCAACTAGAATTCCCTTCACACCTAACAATACATTAATAACAATCAGAAATACTGTTAAGCAGGCAGAAGGAAGAAACAAAGAAAAATAAATTACCTTTTATTTAGAATTTATGTTATCCATTTTGTTGCAAGGTAGATTTCAGTAAGAGGAAAACGAAAATAAACCCCAGGTTTGTCAGATGAAGACCCATCAGTGAAAGAAACTATAGTGTCAATTACACATATGGTAATTACTTGAAGGTGTCATTGGCTGCATCCAGACTAGCACAGCTGTGTGGTATGTGATGCTGCACATTCAGCGGTTCTCCATGCTGCAAGGGAGCAATGTGGGGGGGTTTTTTGACCCCCGGATATTCCCCAAAAAAGTGGAGCAGTGCGCATGGGAGCAGTGCACACTGCTCAAAACTGGAGCCTGGCCAGCTGGAGCTAGCAGCAGCAAAAGGTGTGCCACTGCTAGTCGTCCCCAGGGAACCAAACATCCACGCTCATGTGGATGCGGCCATTCTATCTATGGTCTTTCATCTATAGTGAGGAAACCTATCTAAGAAGAAAAGATATATCCAGCATACCCAGGGTTATGTGGTACATTTTAGCTTCCTCCTTTACTCCAGAACTAAAGGGGGTTTGGGTAGAAAGAACCAACTTGAATATTTTCTGTATAAGTAATTGCCTCAAAGTTATAATTGAGTGAAAATATGGTGGAATATGGCCATTTTTCTAAGATACCTTTATTTTCTAGTTTTCACATAAAAATATTTCTTTGAGAAGTTTTGAAAGGGGGTACTGGATATTTTCCATTATGTAGTACTGTTGGAGTGTTGTTGTAGCCAGGATGGTCCAGGAAGTATACAAGCAGCAAGGGTTGTTTTGTGATATCTTTTATATGACCAGTTGTATAATTGGGAGAGATGTTAGACAATCTTCCAGGCACAACGTTCCCTTTTTACATTCTGCAGTTTTTCACAAAACACCTTCAATTTTTCAACCACCTCTAAGAATTTTCCATAAGCACAAACCAAAAGAAGCCTACAGGTTGACTATACGGAAGTGTCCAGTGGTAAAAACATCATTGATCTCTTCAAGGAGTCTGGGAAATGGGGTAAAGCTTCTGTGACGGCATTTTCGAGAGGAGGACATGTGACTTTATAGTGCATCAGGCAGAAAATATACTGTGACTAATATAGGTCTTAAATGCTGCTTTTAGAATGAGGGATACCTGCTTATTGCCTGACATCATATTAACAACACAGGAGATTCTCCAATAGAAAAATAATGCCATTATTTCCTGAAGTATGAACTCATTCCGTTTCTGTTTCTCAGCCCCGTTCTCTTATCTGTTAACATTTTCTTTTTGTTGGCAAGTATCAAGTCGAAAATAGACTCTTCTCCTGTTGCCTAGGAAATTATCACTCACTAAAGAGCTGAAAGCTACTTTTAACTGGCTTTCTTTGGAGAGGTGTCCTCTATATATGTTTCCTTTCTGTGGGGGCGTATTTTTCAGACCAGGAGACGCAATACAGTTACTCTGCATCAACAGTATACAATCTGGATAAACACAGGCCTTACAGTTGTTCAAAGTAGCTGTTTTTGAAAAGTATTCAAAGAAAAGGAAATTAAACGGGAAAGCTGAAAGCTGCATCACAGTGACTTTATAGAGCAGTCTTTAATGTGATGCTATGGTGATAAGTGCTGCAGAAATACCTATCATTAAAAATAAATTAAATAGAGCTAAATAGATCAGAATCTCAAAGCTAAGGCTGAAGCCTTGGCCATATTGTACTTTAATGCAACTCTCTGCACAGCACTTAGCACAGTGGGGCCATGTAACAGGAAGCCAGAAAACTCCTGATGCTTTAAGAGGAAAGAGTACCAGGCAGAGCTGAATCAGGGAGGACTGGCAGCTAGGAAACAAGCTACCTGCTAATAAAATGGCTGCCAGCAGACAAACCAGGGTGCAGGGCAGAGGGAGAGGCTAACTATGGGAAGATAATTCACAATGGGGAGGGAGGCAGGGTATTAAAATGTAGGGGAGTAAAAGTCAGCCCAGGCAGGGCAGTACAAGCCAGACAGGGCAGTAAAAGTAAGCCCAGAGACAAGGGACTGCAGACAGATGAGTTCAGTTCTAGCAGGTAAACAGGCAGGTCATCAGACACAGAGGGGAAACTCCTGTGAGTGCCCACAGAGCCCCATGACCAGAAGGGGTGGAATTTAGGACACTCTTAAAGCCTGTGCCTGAGAGCAGATGATTGGTCTGAACCTGCTAGTTGCAGAGTGAGGAGCTGCTGTCCTGGGAGGCTCTGCTGACTCCTAGAACGCCTGATAGTACTAAGACCATGAATGCTTGCTGCAAGGAGGTTAGCACCCAAGACAGGGGGAGGCTCGTCAAACTGCCAGTTGCCTTGGAGTTTTGTTAGAGCCTGAATGCTTATGTGTTTTGTTAGAGTTTTGCCAGTGTTTTGGGCTTGGGATTGTAGGGGTAGTTTGGAGGTCCCACTAGTACTCACAGGGCATGTAACTGCCTTGAGCCTTGCCAGGGATTGCTCCATTGCCTACACCTTGGGGCCAGGGTGTCCACAGCCTGGGAGGGGCAGAGATAAGAGCCCAAACGGTCTAGACAAGGGGCTGTAAATCAGGAAGCCAGGCCCAATGCAGTGCGTCTAGGCCAAAGGTACCAGCCAAAGCAGTGGGGTGGAAACTGGGAAGCTAAGGCCCCAACAAGGGAGCAGAGGTCTGAAGTAGCCTGGTGATATGGGGCAAGGTGCCCACCTAAGTGGTAACACATGAAAAACATGAGAGATTCAGGACAGGATAGGCTAAAGAGCTCACTCTAAGACCCTTGGGCAGCCTCCCTTTCTAATTTATTATAGGGAACAAGGTGAGACGGCAAAAGCAAAAGGGATGGACCTTAGAGATAGGATGGCCCAGGAACCGAGTTGCCACCAGGGGCTGTAACAGCTGCCTCTGGAATACCGGTTGTATTACAGGCCATCATTTTAGCGTAGACCTTCAGTGTAGCTGTAATATAAACAATAATTCTCAGACATGCAATCACTCCTCATTGTAAAGGATGCTTAAGGAAATGGTGCAGATCACAGACAGTTTTAGACATACCTATGCCTTGCTGGCTATGTCTTTCTAATGCGTGTTTTAATGTAGTTGAATCAGGATAAATAATGATATTAGAGAACGGAGAGTCGGAATGAGCTCTAATACAAATAGTTAACATTGTAATTAAGAGATGCACCTGTTTATTCCAGGAATGAATTCGGATTATAGTCTTCAGATTCATTCTGGTTTCTTGAGTTACAGTGTTTATTTTGTTTTTTCTTAAATGCTTATGTCAAAGGGAAACAGATGTTCATATGACTATTGTTTCAACTTTCATAAATAACACAGAAATATTTTAATAGGAATTTTTGTTTTCTTCATATTTTTCAGAGCATGCCAGGATAATCTCTTCTCTGTTTCACTACTGGATTACAGATATTCTTCCTGTGAAGAACCAGAAATAAAGCATGTGTGTGTAACCATCTGTGCAGAGTTAAAATGTAATATATGAGCCCTTAGTTGGTCAACAAATGTTCAGAAATGGCAGGGTCAGTATACACACTGTATGTTCACCAAGGTAAATAAGCTATTTTATATATCATTGACTTGTTCCAAAAGATAATCACCACAATAAAAATACTTTCAATGTGATATTTGGTTGGTAGGAAACATTTCAGGTGCATGTGCCAGCCAAATAATTTAATATAACATGATCCAGGGTATAGCAGGATTGAGCCCCAGGGGTGGCCGTGATGCCCTCTGGTGGTCACACAGCTACTGCACTCACTCTGGCTGGGTCCCTTTCCTTCTCTCTTTCCTGCCATGCCTTAATGTAATGAGTTCATTTGTGGAAAAGGAGGCTACCCTCAAGCCCATGAGTGTGTCCTCTGTGCCAGCAAATCCTTCCCAGACCCCATGGGTCTCAAACCCACCTTCAAGTATTAGGTAGGCCCTCCTTGTCTGTCCACGCTCCAGTGCGCTAATCACCTTAAGGACTCATTTCTTGGTCTCTGACCTTCCCTATAACCATGCCCATGCCTCACAGGTATTACTGCTAAGTCACTTCCCCTTGTTGGGCCCTCAGCTTGCCTGACCTCTGTCTTTTTCACTCTCACTAGGCATTTTAGCCTAGGTCCATTGTGCCGAGCCTGACTCCTGGGCATCAGCCCATATCTTATCCCTTATGACTCCAGCCCTAGTCTGGGCCCTCAAGGCTATAGGCCCCTAAACTTGGTCCCACCCCTCTAGGGCTCTAATTTCACTCTGACCCCCTTTTCCACCTTGGTCTGGCATGGGGCTGTCTGGCCCTGTCTCTACCCTTTTCAGACACTGGACTCCCCAGCCCTGACTCTGACCTGCTCAGGCACTGGTCATTATTTCCCCTGGCTTCAGACCACTACTGTCACTTGGCTTTGGCCCTCTTGGCCACTGCCTGCTTGCAATTTTAGTCTGGCCCCTGGCAGGGGCTGAGCTACAGTCGCATGTCCCTTCAACCTCCCCTGCTAGCCCCAGTCCAACCTGCTGATATAAACTGCAACAAAAGAGTAAGCCCATTGGCTATAATATAAAACTATCCCTGGACTGAGTTCAAACTTAAACCCCCAGCTCACTGGCTGTATCACAAGGCTTCTGCTTATCTGGATTGTATTCCCCTTTGAGCCCTCAGCCTTACTGGTAGTTTCAGGCAGCTCACCTGTCACCCAGATATTCCTCTGAAGCCTTCCTGACTGGGAGTTCTTTCCCCTGCTGTCTGCAGAGCCACACTGATTGCATGGATTTAGGCTCCCTTAGTGAGTTGTCTCCCTCAGAGGTTTCTAATTAGAACATGAGGGCTAGCTCTCAGAGCAGTTTGCAACTGCTGCTCTGGTTGCTTTAGCAGTGACCTTGTAGTCCCTCCAGAGCTCTGCCCTATAGTACTATTGCACTACAGCTAGCACTGCAATAGGTACTCTGTTGCTGTGCCCATAGCTGCGCTACAGCCCGATTTCAGAGCAGTTAGTTCTCTGATAGGCACTTTTAGGCTATAAATCCCTGTTGGCTTGTTCTCCTGCCACCTGTAATGAGCAGCCTTCCCCACCTGGGGATCTTCCTGCTGCTGTTCCTCCCTTAAAGTACCGGGGAGCTCCCAGCTCCCTGTTACATAGGAGCTAAGGGGCACCTTAAATCTGCAGTTGGAGCCATGTGGACAGGATCATACAACTGTAGGATATGGGATTTATGTGAGAATGTGCTGAAAGATCTTGACTTTAATATAGTTCTTAAGTTAAATGTTTGTTTGTAATTTCCTTCTGGAAAGTGCAGTTTTTGACCTGCACTATTTACATAATATCATGGGTTTTTATATTTTAAATTAAAATACAAATATCTTTGAAGTCTACACTGTTATTTACTAAAGATATAGGTACATGTATGACCACATCTGACCACATACCATTGCATAGTGAAGTTGGTACCATTACAGTCCCCCAAAGGGAGTCTTGATTGTCTGGAGGTGATGGTTCTGGTCTGAACTCCCCTGGCATCAATGGGAGTTTAGTGGCCTTTCCACTATGGGACTAGGATTTGCCTCCTAGATTCTTAAACCTAACACTACCACTGGTTGCAATGATTCAGTTCAGCCCTCTGCGGATGAGATGATAAAAGATACCGATTATTTTCACATGTAATGGATTTTCTAGGGAAAAGATATTACGTAAGTGAGGTGGTATGGTCTAGTGGGCAGAACACTTCATTGAAATTTGTAAGATGTGTTTTATTTTTCCTGGCTTGGCCACTGGCTTGCGGGCCTCCGCACTGCCCTGCCCCTCCCCACCCTGTCATCAAGACTCCTAGAAACCATGGGGTTAGGGGGAAATGGTAGGGGGGGCATGTGTGCATGTACATGCATACCATCCCCAATTCCCTTAACCATAATATGGTCACCTATTTAAAAGAGGAGCTTGAAATTTGCCAAAGGTATGGTCTTTGTCAGAGACATTCCATTTACCATCCTCATGAAAACCCAACCAAATTCAGCCAATGTGTAAGTCTTTGAAAAATCACAAGTTGCACATGCTCAGTGGAGACTTCTTTAGCAGCTAAATTCTCCAAAGATTCCATTCATACAGAACTTTCTGTGCAGCTTTGGGGTGTCTTGGGTCTGGGCTCCTGCATGAAGAGCAGGATGACTCATTTGCTTTCAGTGACGTTCCTACTTGGAAGGAAACTGTGTGATCTGAATGCAGAGGAGATGAGAGATGGACTTACAATGTATAGACTGGAATGAGGAACTTTGGGCATACAACTGAGACTGAAGGTTAAATGAGGGACAGAGGGGGAAACCTGGACTGGATTTGGGGCTGAGGAAGACTGTCTGGGACTGTCTAGGCAAAGAGATTGGAACTGGGATCAGATTTAAGACACAGGAATGGAAGTTAGTAGGAACTGGGAAAGTGGAGACTGGCTTTAGAGCTAAGAAGGGAAGGGAGACAGGATAAACAAAAAGACTAGAGCTGGGTGTAAAGAGGAAACTGGCACAGGACTCAAAAGTGTAAAGGGAAAAGATTTAAGATTTGCCATTTCCCCACTTCTCCCCCAAGCATAGGCTTTCTGATACTGTTATTAATTCCATGCTTAGAATATTACTTTTTCTTCAGTCTCCTGCTTCACAGAATCAGCCTAGTGTAGGAAACAACTAGGGTTATGTAGTGAAAATATTGTAGGGTCTCTGCCTCACTAGCTGTAGAAGTTGGAAGATGTACAATGAATGAGACAAGAGTTCAGACAAATATAGTATGGTCTTCTGGGTAAGGCAATGAATGCTGCCCTCCAAAACTGGATTCTAATCCTGGCTCCGCCACACAGTTCCTCTGAGATACCAGGTAAACACACTTCAGAGTGCACAGCTAATTGTATATTTCTTGTTTTCTGGGGGATGACTTGACACCATGGCGTTTGAGGGTCCTTCCACATGTTTAAATTAAAGCTGAGCAGAAATCAGCTATAAAGCTGTAATACGTTTTCAGGCACTAACTTTGTAGCTGGTTTGCTCTTTTTATAGCTGCATAGATGTTTTTATAATGTAATAATTACTTTTCACATGTGGCCGGTCTAAATTTATTATGCAAATAACCAGTTAATTGCCAAATATATATAATATGGGGCAGGGGTCTGGGTTACAGAAATGTTGAACCCCTTTCAAATGAAGCTAAAGTCAGTGAAAGCTGCAGCTTTAACATAGAAAACAATATAAAATTCTGAATATCCTGAGAAATCATATATTTAGCATACCAGACTGGACACCCAAAAATAGTTGTTACTATTTAACTGAATTGCTCTGTATTTTGGATCCCCATCTGTGGAGGGGGAAACAACATCTCTTCATTACATGAGGTTCATAAAAAGTAAAATGTTAGTGAAGCACTTTGGTACTGTAGCAATGAGTATCAAGAAAGCTCATGAGAAAATTAATAATTCTGTTTTCTGAGAAGAGTTTGAATAGCATGCTTCAAGTGAAGTGTAGTGGCCACACACTGTACAACAAAGATAAAATGAAATGTTTAATAGCTTCTCAATAAGTGAGTATCATCTATCCTGTATAATAAATAAAGCAGGCTCCAATGGAAAAATATTCTGTGAACACATTAAAATATTATAGTTGCACAAGGGGACCAGATTAAGGTTGTATAGCCGGCCTAAATTATGATGTTTCAATCTTCAAAGTGATTGGCTTTGCAAACTGAATGATGTCCTTTGAACATAATTTTTGGGTGCAATTAGTGTACAAACTATTTATTGTTATTTACTGTTCCTAGAACGTAGGTAGCACGGATAATAGCTGCTGCTATCCTGGTGCATTAGAAGGAATATGGGGTGCAGAAAGCCCCCACTCTTTTCAATATTTACCCATCAGTGTCAGTTTTAATTTGGTACTTTGCACTTTGACAGGAGAAAGGGTGGGAACCCTAGAGAAACAACTAGGGTTGCTGGCAACACATACAAGCTCCCTGGTATGTTGGAACGGGATGGGCCTATGGTTCCTTTCGATTTATTACCATCCCAGGATACCTGCTTCACAATATTAAGGGTATAACAAGGCACTCATCCCAGAGGCAGCGGTGATGCCCTCTGGTGGCCACTCAGCCCTTGCCTGCTGTAACTCTTTGGGCACCCTCCCCTTTGCTTTCCTGCCATGCCTTATGTTATTATCTTTTAAGGAAAGGGAAGCTGCCCCAGGGCTTCCCAAGCCTGATCTTACACTGCTGACCACAGATGTCTGTGGTCATTGCCTTAAAGCAGAGCTTTCCAAACTGTGTGCCGCGACACATTAGCGTGTCGGCGGCAGTGTGTAGGTGTGTCGCACGAAATGCAGAAAATTTTGCGGAAGGGCACCGCGGAGCTCCCTTACTCGCATCTGTTTCCCTTGGCCCCTCCCCCGGAACTGAATTACTGTGTCGCGAAATGATGCATGTCTAAAAAGTGTGTCACCAACATGAAAAGTTTGGAAAGCTCTGCCTTAAAGGTTAATTATGTGGCTCTGCCCTCCCCTTTACACCACACCCATGCATCAAGGAGGTTGCCTGTCCAATCAGTCCCCCTTGTTGGGCCCTCAGCCCACTTGGCCTCTTCCCCTTTTCTCTTTCTGGGCCTCTTAGCTCAGCTCCACTGTGTTG